ATATATATATATATATATATATAATATATATTCTTTCTTTGTAACTGCTTGTAATATATCTATCTATCTATCTATCTATCTATCTATCTATCTATGTATATATATTTTGGTAGGGGGACCTGGAAGCTCTTGATTTGGACTACGATGTTCCTGGGAGTTTTCATTTGAGAGTTTCTTTTAGGAGGTGAATGGTGGATTCTTTCTATTTTCACTTTGCCCTTTGATTCCAAGAGAACTGGGCAGTTTTCTTTTAAGATGTTTTTGAAATATGGTATCTAGGCTCTTTTTTTGGTCATAGCATTCATATAATCCATTGATTCTTAATTTTTTTCTCCTTAATGTTTTCCAGGTTGTTTTTGTATGAAATAGTTTATATTTTCTTCTTCTTTTTTTTTTTAGCCTTTGGACTTGGTTTAAATATTTATTATTGTCTCATGAAGTCAGTGGCTTCTATTTGGCCTATTCTAATTTTCAGAGAGTTTGTTGCTTGTGCAAGGTTTTAAACCTCTTATGCCAAGCTGTTAATTCCCTTTTCAATTCTTTCTTCCATAGTTCTCATTTCTTTTCCAAAAATTTCCTCAAGTGCTCTCATTCCATTTATAAAAAACATTTTTAAACTTTTAAAAACTCTTGCCTTCATCTAGCTAAGTTTTTCTCTGAAGCATTGCTTGTGGATGTCTTGGAGTCATTCTCTTCTGTGTTTGTGTTAAAGATTTTTTATTTTAGTACTTGGATGCCTTGAGCCCATTGAAGAAATGATTCATTCTGATAAATATATTGGTAAACCGAGAAGAAGAATTGTTCTGGTATTACAGAAATTTCCAAATGGAGACTGAATACTACAACGTGATCTTGCACCATGCCACACATCACAAAATGCTAAGTAATACATCTCAAAAATGGAGATAAATGTGCTTCAGTGGACTGGTAACTTATCTGATTTAACTCTCAATGCAAATCTAAGGATTAGACTTAGAAAACTGGGTCTGTAGAGGTATTGCTTAATATTCAATGTTATAAAAATATGATTTCATGATAAAGAATTAAGGAATATGCCAAAATCTTGCCAAATTATCTAAGAAAATTATTGGAGCAAAAGGGCACATTTTATACTAGAAAGGTTGTTTTATTTTTTATAATATATATTTATATTTTATTTTTAGGCAATTGGGGTTAAGTAACTCGCCCAGGGTCACACAGCTAGCAAGTGTTAGGTCTTAGGTCATATTTGAACTCAGGTCCTCCTGACTTCAGGGCCGGTACTCTATCCACTTCACCACCTAGCTGCCCCTACTAGAAGGTTTTTTTAAACTGTAAAAAGTTGTAGGGCTTAATGTATAGATCAATACACTTAATTATTTTATTTTGTTTCAAGTAATTAATTTCCACACCACTATACTTCCTGGGATAGGAAGTTTCCCATTTTTCATAGCTCTAATTGTTAGGAAGTTTTTCTTTACATCAAATCTAGATTTGTTTCTATGATCCTTCCACCCAGCATTTCTAATTTTGTTCTTTGAGCCCAAGTAGAACAAGCCTAATTCCTGCCTTCTTCTACATGACTGCCCTATAGATATTTGAAGATAGCTACCACGTTCTGTCTAAATCTTCTCTCCTCTAGGCCAAACATCTTCATTTGCTTCAAGAAGTCATCATAAGATACGATCTCACAGTCTTTCTCCATCATGGATATTCTCTTCTGAATTTTCTCTGGTTTATTAGTGTCCTTCATAAAATGTGGTACTCAGACCTGGACACAATAATACAGTTGTAGTCTGACCATGGTAGAGTAAAGCAGGACTATCAGGCACCTCCCTTGGCCTGGACATCATGCATCTCTTAATTAGGTCTGACATCACATTAGTTTTTGTCTGCTATAACATACTGTTGACGCTTATCGAGTCTACAATTTACTAAACTCTGCAGGTGTTTTAGAAGAACTTCTTTCTAGTCACATCTCCTCTATCTTGTACTTCTGAATTAGAGTTTCTTTAAAATCAAGCATAAGACTTTACATTTATGTATCTCTATTAAATTTAGTTCAAATTTAGCCTGTTGAGATCTTTTCATATCCTGACTCCAACATCCAGTTCAATGTTCTCCCAGGTGTCACCTGAAAAGTTGATAAGAATGCCATCCATATCTTTATCCAGGTTACTGATAAAAATGTTCAATAGTATAGGGCAAGCAGAGATCCTTGGGAGACTCCACTGGCAACCTCCTTTCTCTCTGACATTAAACTCTTAATGACTGCTCCTTGGGTCTAGCCATTTAACTATTTAACCTTAAATACACTATAATTTAGCTCATCTAAAGCTCTCTATGTTTTCCACAAGAATAGCCTGAGATATTATCAAAAGGCTTTGCTAAAATCAAGATAAACTACATCTATAACATTTTCTTCATTTACTAGTTTAGAGATCTCGTCCAACAAGAAAATAAAGTTGATTTAGTATGACTTCTTCATTATGAAACCACACTCTATGATCATCACTTCCTTTTCTGTTTATTAATTAGCATTCTCTTAAATAATACATTTTAGAATTTTGCCTGGAATTGAAGTCAAGGTTACTGACCTATAATTTACAGACTCCATTTTTCACCCCTTTAAAAGAAATCAGAATATTAGTCCTCCAATCCTGCAGTACCTCATCCTTACATGATGTTTTAAAGATCACTGATAGTGGCTCAGCAATCAACACCCCCTCCCTTCCAATTCTTTAAATACCTAAGGAAATAGTCCATCTGTGCCAGATGATCTGAATTTATCAATGGCAGTTAGTTACTATTTGTTTCATTAAGCCAAAGGGACTTGAGTAATTGATTTCCAACTGTCCTCAAATGCCACATACCTTTGTGGGAGCCACACATTTTAAGGGCTTTCTTGAATTTGTTTGAGGTGGTTTCCAATTAATGCTGTGTCTAATTCCTTTTTGGGAGCCCCACACATCTCTAGAGCTCATCAATTGTTTTATTTTTGAGCAGAATTGCTTGCCTGATTGTGGCATGAGTCAAGATAACATTTCCAGGATCCTTATGGCCTCCATGTCCATAGTGTGCATTTTGCCTAATGGTCTATAAACCCCAAGTACTTTCTTTTCTTTTTCTGGGGAGCAGATTGATCTGTTGATATTTTTCCTGGAGAGTAAAGGGTTGATCTCCCATCAACCCCAACTTCACTCTAGATCTCCATTTTGTATTGCTCTAAGTACTGCAGTGATTTATTGGAGAAGTTGGCTTTTCACTTGGGGTCAAGGGGTTGACCTCTAGGGAACCCCAAGTTTCAGATCTATATGTGGGGACTGCCCCACGTATCTTGGGAGATCATTTGGGATTAGACTTCCTCTTTGAGCAGGGAAACCTGTCCCCCCGCCCCTATCCTCTTAAAATTGTTTTGGCTAGGGCTAGGTCTTTACAAGTATCAACACAGGTATGAGCTATAGGAATACTTTGGGGGTGAATGTAAGCTCTAAGGGGATAATCAGCTATGGGAAATCTAGGCCCTCACAAATACATAAATTTTGGAGAGTCTAAAAATTCTGTATCATGGACATTGTTAAACTCAGTGTGTAGCATTGTGGAAACAGTGAAGAATTGTGCCTAATGGATAGTGAACAGAGCCTCACTCAGTCACAAGGAAGCTATCCAGGGTTTAGGTTCACGGACAAATGGGCCCCAGAGCACAGCAATTTGAATTAGGAAACAATGGCTCACTTCCCTGTAATCCTAGGAATTTGAGAGGGGAACTCTTCAATTTAATCCAGGACTCCACTGATTCAACCCTGTATTATAGTTGTTTATATACATGACTTATATCCTCCAATAGACTAAAAGCTCCTTAAAGGCAGGGTCTGTGCCATGTGCATTTTTAGATCCCTCACAATGCTGAATATAATGCCTTAAAATATAATAGTTTCTCAATAGGTGTTTGTTGAATGAAGATATGTATTAATGACAGAACTGGTTAGTTCAGGTTGTCATATCCTGTCTTTACTATTTATTCAGAAACATTACAGCCTAAATCACCATGTGGCAATTCAAAGGGATTATTTAAACTGCCAGATTTAATAATTCAGCCATATTTTAATATGTTTTGCCATATAAATATACAATCATAAAGCAGCAACATGAAATTACTAAACCCAAAGTCACTATTAATGAAGAAGTATCACATGAAGGCAAAAACTACCAATCAAAAATGGTTTATTGTCTAAAATTTCATAAACAAGACCTATATCTGTATACAACTTTATTGTTTCTGAGGGCTCAAATAGCTTTACAGAAACTATGCAGTTCATCTTCACACCATCTTCATGAAACAGGCAGAAGACAGAGGTTAATATTTGTTTCTCTGATTTATTATATGCCGCTTCATTCCAGCATTCCTTGATGAGAATGTAATATGATAGAACCTCATTACATATTCTTTGCTATAGAACATAATTTGGCATAGCATAAGCTAAATTTTTATTCTGTCCAATCTATTTTTGAGCCAATAATCTACAGAAAATCATCATCCTTAGGTAGATTTATCAGCCTAGTCCCAAAGAAAACCAGACAACATTAAATGTTAAGGTTAATTGAAATGTCATTTCTTCCAAAGATCTATTTATAATGTCAATGAAACCTTGTGAGGTATTCATGAGGCATTTGGGCTTTAAAATTTTGCTTAAAGAGAATAGACAGAATTAGTGGGTTGATTTGAATACTCTTATGAATCCAATATCAGAACCAATCATCCTAGTGAGTTTGACTGACGTTTTATGATTCATCACTTTTAGATATGGTCAGATTCCCATAGGGGCTATGCACAAATAATAAGAAAAAATAATATAAGAGCTGGTGGAATCACACCAGGTCAAAAATAATTTTTGGTATATTGATCATCTAGATTTCTTAAATGGCCAGTTAGTGAAAATCTGCTCATATATAAGACTGTTCAAAGAATATGAAAAATCTCTCACATAGTTTTTGCTTCTGGGAATGTATTCTTTACTTACGATCCACAAATGATGTAAACAGCATTCTGAACCTGCTAAGCCGGCTACCTTCATCAGCCCACATTCGAATCACTCCAATTCCTGTTTGAAGCATTACATCATTGGCTACAGTACTGCAAAACTTGGCCTTCAGGTTTTCAATAGAACTGCTCCCATCATACACTGCAACAAAGTTTCTCTTGCATTCATTTGAATGTTCCATTTGGTAGTCTAGGAATCTCAGATAAATCTGTTAATGAAATAGATGAAATTTGCTTTTGACTGAAGTTGCTCACATACGTATTTCTGTCTAACTCTGATGTCAGTGAGTTCCACTGAACTGATCACTAACCTAAGCCATTTGATTTTCCTTATTACATGGTAATAGTTGAGGGCAGTGAATGGTTCTGATCACTGAATGGCCAACCAACTGCTAAAATAATTGAAATCTGTATTCTAATTATTTTGGTTGTCTTAACTAATAGTCTGAGCAGTGAATTAAACTTAGTGCTTGTACCTTAGAATAATCTAGCTGATTAACTGCAGAAACACAGTACCTTGTGGAACTGAATAAAACCACTGACTTTTGATCCCACTAATTTTATTCCAGATGGGAGAGAGATTTGATCTGTAACACTAAAGTAGTTGCTATTAGCAGTCTTTTAAATACCCCATGTCCCTCATATTTCTAATTTTGTTAACATCTTGCTTGTTATCTGACACTTTGTTGCTTAAAATACCTGCTTTGTTGCTCAATTCTGTTTGTGAGTTTTCTACTTTGTTCTCCAGGAGGCTTACATATGGCATAAAATTTTCTTATTGATGTAGAGGTGATATGGGGAATTTCTGCAACTTCAGACATTCTTAATTCTGAATGGTACTACTTAAATAGACTGGGAAGGTTATAGATACATTACAAGAAAAGGAATATGAACGTCTTAGTTCTGTTACTGTCTATGCCAGGCATAATTCTTTGTACTTTGGTTTTTGCACATATGAAAATCCTTCGTAACCGACAAGCAGTCTGACCAGTTTCAATGTTATGCACATTAAAGTATAGCTTACAACAAATTATTACATAGAATGATATGATTAAAAATCTATGAATAGATCATCCTCATGGCTTCAGCTCAGATTATGATTTACTTACAGATGGTTTAATTTAGAAAATGCTTTAGTTAAAAACAAATTCTCTTTATTCTAATGGAGTAGATAGCCAATGTTTTACTCACTGCTTGATTAATTAGAATACAATCCTATTTTCTTTAGATAGCATACCAATGCCACTTCAAACCCACAAATTTCAAATGAATCTACCAATACAAATACCACAAAACTGTAGGTATTTCATTCCCCAAGTATATTTTAATGGAATGGAAAAATAACTTCTATGAATTAAAAGGATGTAGCTTGAAGAGCTTATTTATTTATTTTTTAGGCAATTGAGGTTAAGTGACTTGCCCAGGGTCATACAGCAAGTAAATGTCAAGTGTTTGGTCTGAGGCCAGATTTGAACTCAGGTCCTCCTGACTTCAGGGCCAGTGTTCTATTCACTGCACCACCTAGCTGCCCCATTGAAGAGTTTATTTTGATTAGGTATATTTTGTTTCTATTTAATGCTAATGAACTGTTTACTACTCTGATGCATGACAGTGGTGGTAGATGATAATCTTGTAGTGCAACAGGTTGTCTACTTCAAAATCTAATGCTTTGATTATCTTGAAAAATGGTACATATCTTCATAAAAGTGTTATCTGTGTCCATTATTAGGTGATGTAAGATATTATACTTTAGAATAAAATCAACAAATCAAAATTATGAAAATTAAAATGTTTGTTTTATGTTGTTATCAAAGATAAGTAAACATATGCCAGTGAGCCAAAACAGAGTTAATGCTAGTTAGAGTCATAATCCTTATGAAATTAGTTATAAAGACACATGTTGAGGCACATGAGAACAAGATAATCTATTTCCACTTGAGTATTGCTAAACTAATCTTGAAAGTTATAACCTAGCTATGGACATACCTTCAGGTAATATTCATAACAATATGGAAATATTAAAAATAAGTATGATTAATGACAAATAGAAATGAAAAGAAATCCTTAGAATAAAGCTAATCAGTATAGATGAAAGGGCAATTCGTATAGCTCCCAATTTGCCTAGCATGCTGGTGTTATACTTTTAAAATATGGAATTAAATATTGCCTTAGAGAATAATATACTGGAAGCAGTGCTGTACTGGCAGTTGGGAGAGCCCAATGAAAGCCTTAGATCTGTTGTTTACTAACTACAACAACCATTTGCAGGTCACAACCTCCTTAAGCCTCAGTTTCCTCACTTGTAAAATGGTCTTTGTACTCTCTTCCACTTCTAACATTCCCCAAGGATGTACTTTCTTCTATTTTTCTGTGTTCTTCTTGCTCTTGTGCTTATAAACAGGTATTTTCTAGTTTCTTGAATTTTAGTTGGATTATTATCAAATCTCCCTCTCTTTGGCCTTTTGAACATCAATCATGAAGGCAATATTTCTATCTTTATTTTGATTAAGTAGTTTGCCTCATCCTAAAAACACAGAGTAATTGGAGGCATTTTATCCTTTAAATTTAAAAAAAAATGGAACTTGATTACCATTTCAGTTTGAAATGAAGACTCATTAAAATAACGAAAAATAATAAGCTTCCTACTTTTAATGACTTTCTTTAAGACAATGCACATTCTAAACAGATAAATTGCTGAAAAATCTATAATATACATAAGCTCTTAAAAGGTGATTTATATGAGACAACAAATACTGTTAGACATAATTTCAACTACTCACATATTCCTAGAAGTATGAATGAAAGAAACTCATAATTAGAAATGAAAACATTTTTAACCTAGAGTAGTTTCAAGACTGTAACATATCTAATAAATGATCCATGATTAGCATGCGGTTCATTAATTTATACTTTAAAAATTGGGGGCTAGCTAGGTGGTGTAGTAGATAGAACACTGGCTTTGGAGTCAGGAGGACCTGGATTCCTATTCAGCCTTAAACACTTACCAGCTGTGTGATACGGGGCAAGTCATTTAAACCCAATTTTCTCAAAAAAAAAAAGTTGGGAATTTGCAAATTTAAAAATTATAGTGGATTTGTATTAGTCCTTAACTTTCAAACATTACATTTAGGACAATTTTATGATAACAATGATAGGTGCTCAATAAATATCTGTTGAACTGATTTTTTAAAAAAGTTGTTATACATATTAATAGATATAATAGTCCAAAGCAGCCTATTTAAACCAAAGTAGCATATAATGTAAATCCTAATTAATGTATTTCACTTAAAATGACTGATTTCATACAAATACCTTGGCTTTTGGAGTAGCTTTAATTGTCCATATGCAGTCAACTGCTTGTCCAGGTTTTGTTTTGTCTTCCTGTTCTACTTGACTAGAGCGTACTATTCCATCAGCTCCTGACAGTTCAAACTGGCAATCTAGAGGGGACACATAAATGATGTCAATGGAAAATAAGCCTCATTGTAAATGTCATCAGAAAAAAAGTGACAATATAATACTAGACCTGGGATGGGATTTAAAATACCTCCTAGGTAAGTAAAATCTGGATCTGCAACAAAAAAGAAGACAATCAGTAGTACTGAAAAGATTTTAGAGTTGGTTCAAGGCTTAGCAAATTTCGTGACATAGCTTTGTTGATCTATTTACATGCCCCATGCTTTTCTGCATATGTGCCTTTGCTTACATTGTTCTCTATAACATGAAATACCTTCCCTTTCCCTGTTCTCATGATTCAATTTTATCTGTCTTTTAAGGCCCACATCTAGGAAACTTTCCTTGACCCCATCCCTCTAGTTGATAATGATTATTTCCCCTCTTAGACCTCACATAGTAGTTTGCTTGTATCACTTTTGTGCATTGCTTCTGTGCTATTTTGTTTTGTCGTGTCCCATTCTCATAACTATATTTTATGCTCCATGAAGTTAGGATCCATTTCAAACAAGGTCTATCTGTACCAGTGGTTCTCAAAGCATGATCAGTGCATACTACTAGTGATTTATGAGCATCCTTTCCATTTACTGTAGTTTGGTACCTTGTTATATTAGTATTTATTTAATGAAAATAACATTTTTTGATCATGGTATTAATTAATATCTAGTAGAACATGGCATCTTCTTGGCATCTCAGCAAAAGAAGCACCAGACATCTCATTCTGGCGAAGTGTCTGTTTGTTTTTATAGTGGTAAAAAGAAGTTGGCAACCTAGATCCATAGGATATATATATATGTGTATATATATATATATATATATATACACACACACACACACATATATATATAAAATACACATATATATATATATATTTTTTTGGTAACTGGGGTTAAGTAACTTGCCCAGGATCACACAGCTAATAAGTGTCAAATATTTGGTCTGAGGTCAGATTTGAACTCAGGTCTTCCTGACTTCAGGGCTGGTGCTCTATTCACTGCGCCACCTAGCTGCCATCTAAGAACCACTATTCTACATGACACAGCATACCCGGTCAATGTAATCAAACCAGTTGTTAGGTATCTTATAGATAAAACACCCAAATGAATGACTAAGCTTTAAATAAATTGTCTGAACTGGTAGATAGTTTGGAACCATGTCGACACAGGCACAGATTTGGTTATGCACAGACCAAATATTTATGAACAAATATTTAAACTACTTTGAAAAGGCATCAATAAACAAAGCTATCAATTTAACAAGCCACACTATTTGAAACCCCAATCAGTTAACTTCATTTGTATAAATTATTGTTACATGGAATAGGAATAGGGGCTAAACCTATAACTTCACTGAGTTAGGGAACTTCCAGATAAGGAAACTCTTACCAATATAGGTGTCAGCTTCTATGCAATTTATGGTCTTAGAGAGTTCCCAGGAGCACTGAAGGGTCAAATCCTTGCCCAAGGTCACACAGACAGTATATGGCAGAAGCAGCACTTGAACTCAGAGCTTTCTAATCCAAGGCCAGTTCTCTTATCTAGTGGGCAATACTACAACTTATTTCTGAGAATATGAAAACATAAATTACCTAGGAAAGAACTTCTTAGTTGATAAGATTGTTGGGAAAACTAGAAAGAAGTCTGGCAGAAATTGGGTTTAGACCAACAGTTTGCTGAATATGCCACAATAAAATCAAAGTGAATGTGACCAGACTATTAAAGATCATATCATAAAAAAATTAGAAAAGAACCAGAGGATAGTTGCTCTTCCCTCTGTTGTTTCCCATATCATAAGAACAACTTTATGTGGGTTAAAGCTAAACTTTAACAAAATGAGGGAGATGACAAACACAAAGTTTCTGGAATAATTAGTAAAACACAATTTTTAGAATAAGAATCAGAATTATTAGAGTTAGAAGGGGCCTTAGAGAACTTCTAATCTAATTCTTAATTTGCAAATAAGGAAACTGAGTCTCAGAGAAGTGAACTAACTTGCCCAAAGTTAGACAGGGAATTATCAGACACTAAAAGAACAATAGGAGCCAAATTCAAGTCATCTGGCATCATATGATTGTGCCCCAAGAAGATTTTCAAAAAGACATTGTAAAGAAAACTTTGTTCTATAAGATACATTTGGCATTAGCTTATGTTATTTTATAAAATAATTTTTCCAAAGCTAAAGGGATATCTGAATTTATGTAGTAAAGTACTCATGATACTTGTGACCCAGATTCTCCCAATACACTTTTTTTTAGGCAATTGGGGTTAAGTGACTTGCCCAGAGTCACACAGTTAGTAAATGTCAAGTATTTGGTCTGAGGCTGGATTTGAACTCAGGTCCTCCTGACTTCAGGGCCAGTGCTTTATCCATTATGCCACCTAGCTGCCCCCAATACATTTCTATTTACTAGGAATAACTAGGATACTTTTTTTGGAGAGGGGGCAAACTTACCTGAGACAATTTTACTAAATAAATTATTATAATTCTAAGCATCTCAGCTTAGAGAGAGAAATCCAAAGAAAGCAAAATCTATCCTACCTTAGAAAATCTCTCTCCCAAAAGTCACTTTCAAGTTATAATTTGTAGTATTCACAAACAAAGACAAAATTCTACAATAAAATAAAACAGAGTTAAAGAGCTCAGGTGCAAGTTTAGTTGAGTTTTAATTAATCAAGCAGAAAAAGTCATTTAAAATGTCGTTCATACAACACTTTCAGAATCTTCAATCCACTAAATTCTACCCCATTGGCCTGCAGTTCTTCCTTTTAGTGGTATCCTTCTGAAATGTGGAGAGATTCTGAATCATTCTTTGTTTTGTGAGGTACCTACTATGTTAGAAGATTATCTATTATCTTTCCAGAGAACTGTTTAACTTAGAAATTTCTTATATACATTAATTCTTTAAAAAGTGAATATCTCTAATTAGTTGTTTTCTATTGTCCGCTTTCTTACCCAAAGTTTTCTCCCATTTGTAACATAGGATTTTATGTCATTAGGTAAAAAATTAAAAGCCTATAGAATATACCAAAAGACTACAGTTTTGGGGAAAATATTGTCCTTTTAAGAGTATTGACCTGGGAATAAGGAAACCAGGATTCTAATTCCAGTTCTAACTAGCTATTACTTCACCTTTCTGTGCCTCAGTTTTCTCATCTGTAAAATGAAGAGATTGGCCAAGAAAACCTCTAAGATGTATTCCAACTGCAATATGCCAATGACTTAAAAATTTTTAATACCTTGAAAATAAGTCTCTAAATGATACTATATTGTAAATCCTTTGATTTCAGGGTTCTCATTTGCTTTTACATCTCCATCATGCCTAATACAGTGCTTTTCTTTGTACAATAAATGACCAATAGTTATTATTGAAAAATCAATCCCAAAGACAGTAGTCAATTCATATATTAGAAAAAAACATCAATTAATCTAGATAAAGGCATTAGTTGGGTGAATTCTTCTGTTTCATCTAGATTGCCATTGTGAATACATGAAAAGAGCCAGGGAAACTTTTATAACATTTTATAATAACATTTTATAATGACAAAGAATATCAAAATTTTGAAGCAGTATAGAATCAATGGTAGTTTTTCTTAAGGTTCTGTTTGCAGAGTACTTTTTTTAGGTTCTGCCTAATGTCTTTATAGCCCTGCATCTGTGCCAATGGATATAGCTTGACTAGTTGATCTCCTTTCTAGCTTTAATTCTCTGTTTTGAGGTAGTCTTCAAAAAACATAAAGCCTTATCTGAAAAAATAAATTCTTACCTGGAATAAAAGAGTATTTTGCTCGAAATCCCAGTCCTTCTAGTTCTTCATCAGAACTAAACTTAATCCACATAAATCTGCCTGTTGATCTAATTAATGAAGGGCTTTTTACACCACAGTAACGATCTATAAGTGGAGAGAAACCAAATGGCCCATCTCGAATTTCCAAGTGATCAAACCGACATTCAAATGAAGGCTCTATATAATAATGTTCATCAAAGGTCAGTTCTATTCTTTGACGTGGAGCCGCTGTAACATAGAAAGTCAATTGGAAAAGTTTTTTAAAGAAGAGACTATGTAATGTACAAACACTGAAAAGGTCTAAAGAGGAAAAAAAATGGAAATAACTGCTGAGTCAATACTTTACAACTAAGGACATCAATATGAATGAAATAACATGCTTGGAGCCAATGTGAATAAATCAAGAGGAACTGGCAGAGCCACAGTTGAATTTATTAATAACTTAAACATTACAAAGAATATAGGTCAGAATACATAGCTTATATTATATTAACTATAGCATTATTCTTTGTAGAACAATAATAATTTCACCCCCAGTATATATTATTTATTACATTGCTTAAACACATATTTTATTGGAATCAAGATTTCAAGAAGCAAATATTCAATTCATGAAACATAACAGATCAATGAAAAAGAAACAGAGAAAAGATGAACAAGAAAAGTAAAGTTATATTAATGAGGATTATAAACAGAAATTTGCACAGGCTCCAGTAAATTATTTCAGTAATATTTAAGGAAGTTTCTCAGAAACCTTTCCCATTAGTTTTGATACTTGAAGAGATAAAAAGTTGAAACAAATACTTTTACTCGTTTGAAAGTTCTTTTAAGGAATTAAAAAAACCTAGACATTTCTTTGCTGTTGTTGTTCAGTTGTTTCAGTCATGTTCAACTCTTTGTGACCCCATTTGGTAAAGATACTGGAGTGGTTTTGCCATTTTCTTCTCCAGCTCATTTTAGAGATGAAGAAACTGAGGCAAATAGGGTTAAGTGACTTGCCCAAGGTCACACAACTAATCTGAAGCTCCATTTGAACTCAGGAAGATGAGTGTTCTTGATTCTAAGCCTGGCACTCTATTCACTACACCAACTAGCTGACCCCCTATACCACCTAGCTTACCATTACATTTTTATGAATGTTTAAAGTTCAGAGGCATTTATTTTTACTTGTTTGATCAATATTTAAAAATTAATTTGATTCAAAGTTGTTAAAACTACATCACCAGTTCTTTTAATTTTATAATCAATAGTAAAATTCAAAAGGGAAAAAGACATTTAAAAATACCTTCCAAAATATAGATACACTCCTTGTTTGGTGGGTATGATTCAGGATAATTTGGAGAAGCAAAATGACCTCCATTGCTGGTTCGAACCCAAATTCCACACTGGGTAGCTGGAACATGTTTAATTCCAATATTCTGCCCATCTTGAAAAAAATTATTAAAACCTATGAATTAAAGCAGATCAAAGAGACCCAATACCACACACACACACACACACACACACACACACACACACACACACACACACACACAGAACTTCAACCATTGTATATTCAGAGTATTATAAATATACTTAATATAATCCTTGGCAAATTTGACATACTTTAGCAGGAGTGAGGGGAATATAGATTTCTGTATATTATGTTAGGAGGATTGAAATGTACCATAGGCATAGAAGAAAGGGAAAATAAGATGTTTGGGGCCTTAGGCATTGCCTTAACTTACCTGATGGTGTGCTATCCTCAGTCTTGAGAAATATTTGATTTTTTTCTCAGTCTCGAGAAAAAAAATAACTGCAGAGTCACTAAGGACATTATTATGATGCCTATGCAGGCAACTCATGTATCAACACAGTTCAGTGTTCAGAAATTTAACTAAAGTTTTCTGCAGTTATTTTCATATACAATTCCTATGTATAGTTCAATAATAAATTAACATTAAGAGCTTTTATATAGGAAAGGGCATGCCCTCTGTCATGAAAACCTGACCTAAAGTAATTTAGCTGGTTTACTTTCATATCCAGGAAGATTTGAACAGGTTTACAAGGTTTGAGTACTGTGGAGTTCTTTTGTAGTCACAGGACTGAGAGTTGGAATGGATCTTAGCAAGAGTTTAATTCAATCCCCTCATTTTACAGATGAGGAAACTGAGGTCCAGAGTGGTTAAATGACATGCGCAAGGTGACACAGGTAGTAAATAACAGTTTGGAGTTGGAGAGTTGGAATTTTTAAAAGGAGCACTGCCTTCAAATCAGGAGTCCTTTTTAGTATACCATGCTGCCTCTCTGCTTATATTGCAAAAAACAGGTTTCTTTTCCTGCTTTATGTTTAAGCATGAATCTTACTCAGTTTTGTGCATAATCCCACTGTGAGCCAGAAGCTATTAGTAATAGCAGACTATCGAACGAACCAGGGCAAGAATAGCTATTGATAATTTACTTTGCTTAACTGCAGCTGAACTCAGTTAACTGAGGCATATGTATTGACAGAATGCTTTAGGTCACTAGAACCAGCCAGAAGGATTATGGAAATAACATTCAGTAGCTAGATTACTTTCTATTAGCCTATCCCACTATCTTGTATATACTATAAAATGTCACTATAAATACCATACCTTGGGTCTTCTGGGCCACAGCAATGCCTTCCACTACAAGTACTGTTATTAGCAACACTAGTAAAAGAACAGAAAACACATATTAAAATAAAACTATAGTTGAAGATGCATTATATTTCCAAGGAAAAATCAATGGCAAAACTTAGAGAAATAAAATCATTGTTCTTAATTGGCCTTCAACCTCAAGATTTAAAAAACAATCCTACCTTGGTTGCTTAGTGTTAGAAAAATCACTAAAAAAAATCTGATTTGTACTTATTTATATCTGCACTTGAAGTATGAATCTGTAATGATTATTCCTTAGCTATGGATAGAAAAAGCATAAGTTTTAAATCTTTAAAACAAATGCTGCTGATACAATAAACTCTTGAATCAAGTCTACCATATTTCAAACAGGTTTTAAAATAGAATGTTTTACATTTAAATTTAATTTTAAAGTTTGGATTACAATACTGTCTTTCCATGCATAGTGGGTTACTCATGAATGTATTATGTCAGTGAAAGTTCAATTGGATTCTCTGACATCCAAGCTTCTATATGATAAAAACAGAAAGGGGGCAGCAGCCTCAAAGAAATCAATTAAAGAAGTTTCACAGCTGTGCAGAATTCTATGCTACAAAACAATCTATATTTAAAAAATGAAACCTAACAAATTTTTCATTATAGTACAAGTGAACATTTTAGAGGTCAAAATGACACTACATTACCTTGAGATGATTTTTTGTTGTAATGTGAAGTTCTATGATAGTCACCTTTATTTTCTATTTCTATCTATGTGCTATCTTTCATGATAATTTTCCCCTGAATGGAAAATTCTATCCCTGTAACCTAACATTCATATATAGACGTGTTTTTATATTATTTGTCAACTATCCATCCATCCTTCCATCCATCCAATGAAGTTTTAAAAAATCAAATGTATAAATAGATTTGAGGAGATTTGACATAATGGTAGTTACTGTGCAAAAGATTTAAGAGGTTTTGATGGCCTGCAGGCTCAACAAGAGTGAAAAGTATGAGGTGGCTGCCAAAAGCCAATGCTAAATGCTTTTTAATTTGCATTAAAATAATTATCTAGTCCTTCTGTATTATTATTTAGTTAGAATCCACCAAAAACCCTATTCAATTTTGAATACCATACTATAAACATACTTAAAACAAATTTAAGGAACTAAGGATCCTTAGCTTTGAGAGAAGACTTAGGTAGATATGATAGCTGTCTTAAAACAGTCTGAAGGCCTGTGACTGGAAAAGGGATTAGATATATTTGATGTAGCTCCAAAGACTTAACTAGGGCCAATTGGAAGTTGTTACAAGGAGGCAGGTTTTAGTTTAATGTAAGGAGGAACTCTTACAGTTAAAGTCGTTTGGTAATGAAATTAACTTCCTCTTGATGAAAGAGTTCTCCACCACTGGACATATTAAAGAAGAGGCTGAATGTCCAAGTTCTAGGGAAACCATAATGGGGATTCCTGCAAGGATGAGAGATTGGACTAGATTCCCTCTAAGGCCCATTCTAATGTGAAACATTAAGCGTGTACCTATGTGGAAGGTACTGTTAGGTTTGGAGGATACAAGAGTGTTTAAGGAATAGTCTCTGACCTTATTAAGGAAGTTGTGATCTACTTGTTAACAATCCTTTTCAATTTTTAGCCTTTGTAGTTTTGCTGACCTACTCTAGCTCACTTCTCAGTTTTTTAAATTTTTTCCTCTCTTTTTATTCTTTTTTTGGGAGAGGGGTTGGAGGGGGGCAATCAGTGTTGTTGTTGAAGGCATAAAACGCCATTAAGGAATTAATCTTTCAGTGAACTCCCCAAATACCTAAATTGTATTTGAGTTAGAGGGATTGACTCTTGAGGTAGAGATATCACTACATTTCTTAGGACAAGTATATTCACAGTGGAAATATGGTAATAATCAGAGAATTCCCATGCTACAAGAAACTCTGCTGCAGAGGCACCACCTTTCAGACAAGTAAAATTTTTAGTTGTTGTATTCTTTTCATTTTAGCTAATGAATGATGGAGGCAAGTGGGCATGTTTATGAATAAACAACTTCCATATGCACAACACATAGCAGATGTATAAGTAAGTATGATGCGAGAAAGAAAGAGTAAATTGAAACCAGGGGACCACCAGTAAAACTGACAGGAAAATGAACTGAAGAAAATGAATTAAGTAGTTATAGACAATGCCTAATAAAGATCTGGCTGTACACAAATTTGGTTTACTGGTGGTATCAATCATATTATTCACAAGTGGGATAAAATGTTATAACTAAAGCTTCAAAGGCATAAAATGCTTATTACATTTGATACTACATCTCTAGAATTGCACACAAATTAGTTTTCTGAAACTGTGTCATTTGAAACAAAGATACTATAAAAATACGGAAAGGAGGGACTCTGTAGTGCACCTAGAAACATCTGCTTCTCTTTCTCCTAGTGGTAAAGCAGTGACTATTAATCATCCTAGTAACATGTCATAACAAACATGTAAGTCTGGCTGAGAATTTAATAGATTCTTTATAATGAAGCTGGGCTATAATCAGGCTGAATTATTAAAACAAATGTCATGAATGTCCAACATCATGGAATACCAGTGAGCAATTAGGTGAAGATGTATCTCCCTGCTGCAATTTAACATTATGACAAGTTAATAGCACTTAAGTTGTTTATAACCCTAATACTGAACAAATAAAATTTGAATGGAATTATTTAACATACAAGGCACTTCTATATTTTTTTCCTGCCCTTTGTCTCATCAAAACTTCTATTGCTCTTCCTGCCTTCTGATTAAATGATTCACTAATTTTTCCCCGTCATCTCTCACATTTAATTAGTTGCCAAGTCTTCTTAGTTCTGCTAACATAAGATTTTTCACATATTCCCTTTCTTTCTGTTCATTCTGACAAGCTGCCTTATTTCATATCTTTAGTGGTACTTTTACTTGTACTACTGTAATAGTCTTTACTTGTAATACTGTAATAGACTTCATTGTCTTTTAAGTGTTGAGGATGATTGAGAACAGAGTGTTCCTTGAGTGTGGGTGGCAAGGAAGGTAGCTTACTCTTCCTCAGGATACTTTAATAACATCAGGAAGTAGTCCCAGTACTGGAGAGCGTAGTCCCATGTAAGCATGGGAGCTTGGAGTTGAGGGAATTCAGAGAGAATCTAGTGAATGTTTATTGGAGAGTATGACTAAGTTGCTGAATGCCAGAGCAAGCATATAGCTAGGAAGTCTCAGATTTTCATTAAAGCCTTGCTCTGAGAGGGACCAATAAGGTAAAGCAGGATAACAAGTAACTTAGGCTCAACTGCCCCTCCTATACAGAGTAGATACCAGTGAAATGAACTGTGATAAAAAGGCTGCCAAATCAGATTTTGTCTCAGGTTGAACTCTGTGGGTTTCTAAGTTCCTCTTAGTTTAGTTCTAGGAAAATATCATTGGGACATAGGGTAGAGGTGGGAGGAAGGGGACACAGGGTGACTCAAGGCTGAAATGTTCATGGGAGTGAGTGGCGTCATCAGTCTCTTTCTCTCTCCAAACCATCTTTCATACAGATGCTAAAATAATCTTCCTAAGCACAGTTCTAACTATGTCACTTATCTGCTCAAAATTTTTAGTTATTCTCTGTTCCTTATAGGATAAAATACAGATTCTTAACTTGGCATTTAAAATCTTCCAATTAAAAAAATAAAATCTTCCAAAATTTGGCTCCATTATAGCTTTATTTCACATTACTTCCCTTCACACACTCTTATGTATCGTTTACATACTCATATTCTAGCTGACTGGACTACTAGCTCTTCCTCAAATTTGATATACCTTTTCCCTTATCTGAGCATCTGAGTAGGTTTCTATCACACCTGAAATGTATGCATTCCTCTTCTCTAACTTTCAGAATATGTCTTTTCCTTCATGGTAATTCAGTTGCTATGGATGTCCCAGACATGGATGTTTCCTTCTATCTCAAATTTTCTGGATCTCTACTTTGCTCTCTGTATTCATTCCCAGTGGAATACAGGCTTCTTGAGGGTAAGGACTGTACCATTTTAAAAATCATTGTATCCCTGGTACCTAGCATAATGCCTTGTCTGTAACAGATGTTTAGGTACATGTCATTTGAAATGAATTTTCAAATCCAGAGATTACCCAAGACAATCCATGCTTTGAAAGAGCATGCAAAACATAAAGCCATCAGCATGACATAATGGACAAAGTAAAGGACTTGGAGTCAGGAAGACCTAGGTTCATGTCCCACCTCTGACACTTACTGGCCATCTCTATCACCTTGGGCTAGCCATATAACTTCTCTTGTCCTCAATTTCCTCATTTGGAAAATGGGAATAATGCTTTTCATACCAACCTCATGAATTGTTGAGGTTCAAATGGGATAATGTATATAAAATATTTTGCAAATTCCAAAGCACTATATAGATTTAAATTATTGTTATATTAAGGTTGAAGATCAAGTCTAGACCATGTTTCTCAAACTTTGTAACCTTAGAGGTAAAATGTAGGTCTATTCAGTTTTGTTGAAAGGGAAGAATTCAATTTTTAATAACCATCTGAGTTGAAAAGCAATGTTTTTAGCCATTTTGACTCTGGAATTCATGTGAAGGATAATAATACTCTTAATTATGGCTCACTTCTTTCTAATAAAGAAGGATGTTAGGATATGAATTTATATTATGCTGCTGTAGGTATAAGGTATACCTCCAGCTCATCCCATCAAAATGGCCAATATTAGCTTTTAACTCTACTTTCTTCAGGTCTTTATTTAGGCTTTCCAGTTAAAGGTTCTTCTTTCCAATTATACTAAATGAAAAAAGTAAAATTTATTTTCTTCAAATTAAATTTAAACCGCAAATCTTGGGCTTTAAAGTCCCTACCAACTTCAATCTACCTCCTTTAGTCAATTGCCTTTATTTCTCACAACAATCATGCTATCTTAAATCAGTCAATATCTATTGACTGCCTAGCACACAATACTAAGCCACTAGGAACCACAGTGAAGGCATATTTATTTCTTTTTTTTTATTTTGAGAACTTAATGAAGAGGGTTGAGAGCAAAGGAATTGAGATATCACTCAACATTTGCCTAGTCACAGCTTTGGGTCAATCCCACTTTCCATAACATGATTTCATTGTTGTTGTTGTTGTTGTTTTTTAAATCTTTATTAAGCCAGAATGTAAAAAGGGATCTTCAATGGAAAACAGAGGAGATTCCATCTATAGCCCAGTCTGTATTTTTAAGTATCAAGAGCTGCAGATATTCAGTCATTGTAGTAATTTTTTTTTAAATAATAGGAGATATTGGTCCAAAAATGTTTTACTATGTACCTGATAACAAGAAGGTGCTTAACCTTACCATCCAATCTTCCTTATGGTAGTTAAACATCTACTTGTCAGGAAGTATACAAAGCTTAGTGAACTTTGTAAATCCCTGAATCCCAGCATATGCTTGCTAATCACACTGCCAATCACTTCCAGGAAAAAAAGGTAGCTTGTAGCAGTGGTGCCTTCTCTTTTCTGAAAAATCTGACAGCCTCCTTGTCAAACCCCACTGTAGGAAATTAAAAGTGCTCCTGAGAAGACAGTTATGCATGTCTTCCTACTGTAATTACCACAGATTCTTCCTCAGACACCCTTAGTCAAGAGTGGACTACCTTCTCATTATTGTGATACTAAATCATATTTTAGATAACATTTGCCTCTATTTTCCTTCAACCTCCAGCTTTATACTTTCCGTCAAATCACAGAAGTTATATATAAATGAATGTTAGTTATTTTGAATGGGAAGAAAAGTTGAGGTTTTAGATTAATCTCTTTCCTGCTCTTGTTACCTATAGCATAACAATGTTAACAGGTCATCTTTCAACCAAGGCAACCAGGATTGTATACACCAGGGTCTAGTGCAGTGTATTGCAAATTACAGGCCCTTAGTAAATGATTATTTAATTGAAGTTGTATCCCAACAATTTCATTTTAGGTATTGCTCTTATATAGCTGATTTACTCTTCTGAGTCATTGTGACAGGTTAAATTTTTCTTTTTTTAAATAAGGTTTAAGGTTGTAGAATAAAAAGTTGATTGTCTATCACATTCCAAGGTAGGGGTGTGTGTATGTGTGTGTGTGTGTGTTTTAATAGTGCCAGTGAAAAGTTGTTTTTCCTCTGTAACATCAACATCACAAATGCAACTACAATTTTATAACTTGAAATCTAGAATTTGGCTGACTTGCTATATTTGATGGGAATCTACTGGAGCATACATAGACTACTAAGGACAAGAAAGTAGCAGAGGTAGGATTTGAACTCAGGTCCTCTGACTCTAAACTCAGGGTTCTTTCTACTCTACCATATAGCCTACATTAAATAAAAATGGGTAATTAAAAGAAATAACAGGTATGATAACTGATAATGACTCCTCTTTTTTCTAGTGGCCCAAGAAGACAAAGTGCATTGGCACAAGGTAAAAGCATCGCTGAAATATGGAAAACTAAAACAGGTAGCATTATAGAAAACCTAAGAATTTATTTTTTTGGTGGTGGGACTGAATTTTATTTTCTGGTAATATTTCCTGATATTTACAAGGAATACCATTGCCACATTAGGTTTTACCATATGGAATGTGTGCATGTATATATATTGCACATATACACATATGCCTATTCATATATATACATACATATAGAGGTGTAAACATATATATGTGCATATATATACACATGTGTAAACACACACATATAACATGCCTAGAAAATGAGCATAACAAATTAACTACTAGCCCATCAAATTCCATCTTATCTTGTACCCACTCCTAATTTTCCAGGCCAATGATTTAACTCTTCATTTAATGTTTTATTATTAATTTAAATTAATAGTAGTTATTAATACTGTTTCAATCTTTCAAGAACTTGTCCCATGCTGCCTTAAGAGTACTATAGTGCCTCTTAATTACTTTAAGATGATTATCAAAAGACATTGTTGAAATTAATCTATCCTTAAATTTGTAAAGAATTTAAGTTCACAGCCTCTATTATAAAAAGAATACAAATAAATTATAACACTTTTATATATATAACTTCTACTTAAATTAATAAGAAATTAAGCATATTTTTAAAACTACAGAATAAAATTACAAGTGATTATTCTATTTATTATAGCTAAGACACAATAAGAAATAGTTCAGAATCTAGGGAGTGGAAATGAACATATGGTTTATATGCTCTCAGATTTCTGAAAATCTGATTATGGAAGATAAGTAAATATTCATTGTCCAAAAAGTCTTGCTTGTTAATTTATTGCAAACTGCTTGTGCAAGAAGAAATCAAATGGAATTATTTAAATTTGGTAAAGAGATTTCAGTTGTTAATTTAGGAAACTTTTAGGTACCTAAATTATTAACTACGTTAAAACACTGAATTTGCTAATTATTCAATATCAATTTGACAAAAGTTTTGCTAATTTGAAGGTCATTAATTGAAAATTTATCTTGTTTTCATTACAAACTAACTTTTATCTCACTGTGACCTGACTTGGAAAGAAAAATCCTCCTAATTTGGCACAAGCTTCTGATGGAAACAGAGACTGATGAAAACATTGATATAATGCTCAAGTTTTTCATGAAATGTAAAAAGGTTACAACAGTGTAAGGAAGGCAAAATCCACTTTTTTACTTGAAGTAGGGGGACAGAGAAACCCTTTGGTTCCTTGTGCTGTTTTTCTCTGAGAATTAGAAAGAAATTCATAAGCAACTTTGAGGAACAACCTTAATTATTAAAAAAAAAACAAAAACCAAACACATAACACAGACCCTTTACCTCTTGGAAAATTCGAAATAACTATGTTTTGTCTGAGTGTACTAGTTTTGGCAAGGAGACTATTTTAATTCTAAGTGTCAGAAATGAGGAAGACAACCAAACAGCAACAGCTTTGTGTTTTAAGATCTCACTCAAAATATAGGGAGGAATATCACTTTGTCAAACTGAGATGGCATCCATGGAAAAGTCCAGTGTAAAAGACTGAAAGAAGCCACACTCCCCAGAGACATTGTACCTCATTAGAAAACGGGTCAGCGTTGGCTGAGCTCCACTTCAGGAAAGCCTGCAGTGGTGTCGCAGCCTCCCAACTCTCCTCCTCTATCACTATTGCTACCACCACCATCAAGGAGTATTACTGTGATTAGAGACATGAAGAGGAAGGACAAAGAAACACAAATAGGAAACCCCTCACATTTTAAAGTGCAACCAGCTTCTCTAATGTTATACTCATAAGCCACAAGTGACAATATGACTTGGGTTTCAAATCAGTCTCAGAAAATGTTGTTGTCTGTCAGTTGTGCATGGCTTTCATCAACATACGACACTCAGAATTGAGAAGCAGAGGACTGAAAATTATAAGCTCTACAGGTTTGACTTTACATATTTTGCTTCTGGCTGGAAGTAAAACACATGAGCATTTTACACACAAATACAAGAACGTTCTGAATACTATGAATTTAGAACATCAATGCCATGTTCTAAACCTCAACTAGGAAGCTTACTTTTTTTTGAATGACTTATCTATGTAGCAAAGTAGTGCTATGGAAATGTTTTTCTTAAAGAAAATTGCTTAGAATTGTGTTTATTGGTTTTGCTCTGGATGAGAAGTGACCACAGAAAAAATACATATACGTATTGCACTTGATTTTATAACAAATACTGTGTGTTAAGTACAGAATTACTTTGATAGTATGAATACAGACAACACAGAGAACAGTGATCTGAAAGGCACATCAACAATCAGGATAAATGGAATATCTAAAATTACTGAGACACATATTCCTAGTATTTTTGTATATTCAAATGAGAAATCTCATGAAAATCAAAGACATTGAAAGGAGTTTTAAACACCCACTTCTTAATGGTAAATCGTGGAATGACAGACACTTCCAATCACTAATCTAGCTTTCCTCAAAATAATCTTTTTCTAGACTAGGAGTTCAAAAATGATTGCTTTTAAATTACACTGAGACACTTTGGTACAAGTGGTTTTAAAGAAGCAAACATTTTAGGTTTTTGGAGGTGCCGCTACAGCAGCTTAAGCGTGCATTCGCTCAGGGTAGCTCCAGCGGCGCCGCTCTGGGCATCCTTTCTGGCTGCATGCACTAGGAGTGACAAAGGCGGCTTGCAGCAGCAGCAGCAGCAGCGGCGGCGGCGGCGGCAGCGGAGGCGGCGGCAGCAGCAGCACAGGCAGGGAGGGAGAAAAGGAGAACGAGGGGGAGCTCAGTCCAAAGTCTCGGTACGCTGGGCCGGCCGCCGCCGTCCCTCCCTTAGGACAAGGAGAGAATAGCCGGCATCCAGTGCTCCCCGAGCGAGCGGGGACAAGTGCGCGCTGAGGAGGAGCGGAGATGGGCGCAGAGCAGGAGCGGAGATGGGCGCAGAGCTCGGGCGCTCCAGGGCCACGGAAGCGAGCCCGGAGTCGGGGGTCTGGGAAGGGGCAGCGGAGGAGCCGGGGGTCGGGCAGGGACCGGGGCTGCCAGGCGGGACGGGCTAGGGAAGAGGAGGCACCTGTTCCCGGACGGGTCCCTTAGACCCTGGACAGCTCCGGCGGCCGGCGGCGGGGCCCCGGCCCAGCCCGGCCCGCAGGGGGCGCCGTTTCCCGCCCGGGCGAGGCGGGCTGGCTCTTACCTTTGAGGACGGAGCAGAGCTTCTCCAGGGCCATATTCCCGGCCAAGCCCCAGCGCCGGGACCCGGGCTAAAAAGGGGACGAGGGAGGACCGTTGGGGGAGAAGGCGTCTCACGGCCCGGCCCGGCGGCAGCCCCGCGTTTTCCCCATTTGCCGGGCGGAGCCGTTCCCCCAGTCCTCAGGTTCGCGGACCAGCCATGCCTGGGCTTCCCGGCAGGTTAGGGGGCCGCCGGAGCCCCTCGACGGGCGTCACCTCCGGCTCCGCGGCGTTCAGTCCCATCGACCAGAAGAGCCGATTCCTAGAGTCGGGGAGCGGCTACAAGGGGGTAAGCCGGAGGGGGCTAAGAGCTCCAGTAGGTCCCAGGGAGCGTCAGTTCAATGCAGGTCCTACTCGGGCATTAGCACTCCCTGGAGCTTCTCCCTACTCAGCAGCCGCTCGGGCTGGAATGAAGCGGCGGTCACCCCGAGCCCAGGCTCTTTTAAGAGGTGAGCGCGAGCGCCGCATGCCGGCTATGCCACCTCTGCGCATGTGTCCCTCCCCCGCTCTCCGCTCCCCCCTCCCCTAGCCACTTCTGGTCTCCTCCGTTAATTCCCCCTCCCCTCCAACCGCCTTCCGAGCCCGCGCGCTCCTCTCCAGGCAAATAAAGCCTTTCAGCGCCTCGCGCCTAGCCAGCCGTTAGCTTATTATCCTCCCTCCCTCCCTCCAGTCTCCTCCTCTCCCCTCCACTCCCGCCTATCTCACCGAGTTGCGTGCGTGCGTGAGTGTATGTTTGTGTGTGTGAGTGTGAGTGTGTATGTACACGTTAGATGGCAGAGAGGAGTGGGGAGGGGGGAGTCCTCTTCCCTCACGCTCCTCCGCGCCTCGTGCGACTGACCGTTAGCACAGGGAGATGAGCGTGGGGGAGGGGTGATATCCCGTCACGCGCCCTTCTCTTGCTCCGGGCGCCGCAGGGTTAAGGGCAGCCGGGCAAAGTCGCTGCCTTGGCGGTCGCGGCCCGGAGAGCCGCCCCCAGAGCCTTCCGTGCGGGCGCCGGGTTCTCTTCTCAGCGCGTCTACTCCACGGGTCAGATAGCTCCTTCTTGAGGGACAGCGGCAGAGCAGGGCCCGAGCTCCGGCGGAGGCACTCAGAGCATTCCCGGGCACAAGAGTCACAGCCGCGCCCCCCCCCCCCTCCGCCCCCATCTCCTCCATCCCCCCACGGAGAAGCGGCCGCCGGCCTCAGGCCCTGGGGAAAAGCCCCGTTCGGTGGCGGGCTGGCCCGGCCCCACGCTCCCCTCCTTCTTCCCTCGCCTCGCCGGTCTGTCTGACCTCCGAGCCGCCGGCCGGACTCCCCTCGCCGCCTCCGGGAGCCTCGGCAGGATTTGGCGGGTCCCGGCTAATTTCTGGGGGCTCCCGGTGCCAGAGCAGGACTAGGGACTTTGGTGTCTATGCCGTTATCTAGGTTCTCAAAACAAGGGCAAAACTTTTCTGATTCATCTCTAGTTTCATGAAAGTCCCCAATGGCCAAGAATTCTCCGAGAGAAAAAGCAAAACTGAGCAGACCCGGGAACATGCATGCAAGACCTCAATTTCCTTCTTGTAAGGCAGATTCTGGCTCCTGGTTCTTGCCGGTCCAGCCTCAGACAACATAATATGCTATTAGATGGATCACTCAGAATTGGATCGTAGGTTGTAGGAGCTGGAAGAGACCTTAAAGATCATTTCGTCTCTGGTGCAACCTCTTCATTTTATTGAGGCCGAAAGTGGCTAATCCAAGGTCACAAAGGAAGCAGAATTGAGTTGAATTTAGGTCCTCTGATTCAAATCCGCTCCTACACCTTTCACTAATTTTTCACTGTTAGCATAGGGATAGGGACTGGACCTGTGATTTCACTGATAGTTTCCAAATATGCATGCAAGTTATTCAGTATTAAGTAACGTTCTTACAAACAGGCTTGTTTTTTATATTTTAAATAAAGCAGGCTATGTCTCTAGCATAAATAGCAAAGCGTTTCCCAGGGTGGCAGGCTGGTTTAGCTTTACCCCAAACAGGCAAAATGTATTCAGGTCAATTGATAGGTTTCTGAGATACTTACACAAATCTGAAGAACGTTATCAATGAGTCATTTTCCTTCTCGAAAATTCCATGCTAAGTATTTATTGCTGCTAAGTGGTATTGAGTTACAAAGGAAGAAAAAGACAAGATTTCAGCTCACAGGGAATCTACAATATAGTTGGGCCACTGAGGCACCTATCAAATAATTAGTGAATAAGCCAGTATTATGTTGAACACCATTGTCTTACTAGAGAATAGAATCAGGGCCAAAGGTCTAGAGATGAAAGTGATCTTAGAAGTAATGTCTAAAACTTTAGTTTTACAAATGAGGTAACTGAAGTCCAGTCAGTGATTAGTGAATTGCCCAAAGTCATACATGTAGTAAAATATGTATTATTGTTTGGGTCTAGAAATACCTGTAAAAGGCATTAAAAATAAAGCTATCACTGTGGGTGGACATCATCCAAAGAGACATGACATGAACTGAGTAAAACTTAAAAGATAAGAGTAAAAGTAGGAGAGAGAGCATCTGGGTAGGATGCAAAAACCCTGAGTAAAGAAACAGAGGTAACAATGAGCTATTTTTGCAGCACAATATGATGACCAACCTGATTGGAATGAATGATGTGTGTTGGGATACCAACAGGTTGAGGCTAACTGAAAGCACATTGCTGGCACAAGGGATGGTCTGTGCAAAGACTGAGTTGGGATATGAAATAACAAATTTGGGGAATGGCAAATAGGACAGATTAGCTGGAATATAGGATGCATGGAGGGAATTAAGGTTTAAAAAAACTAGAAAGGTAAGATGATGCTACATTGTAAAGTAGTTTGAAAACTAAGCTGAGGAGTTTGTATATAAATAGGGAGCCATTGAATTTTGTAGAGCAGGGTACTGACACTTTCAGATATACAGTACTCCAGGAAGGTTAAATATTTTGTCTGTTGTGAAGGCTGTATTAGAAAGAGGTGGCTAGAAACAATGAGACTAATTAGAATTCTGCAGTTGTCTCTGCAAGAGGTAATAAGGGCTTAATGGCTATATGAGAGGAGAGAAGGGGATGGATGCAAATTACATGATGGGAGTAGAATCAAAACTTTGTAACTGATTTAGAAATGAGGAAGAGGGAAGAGTTGAGGATAACTTAAAATATACAAATGCCAGTATTGGAAGAAGGATGCTGACACCCTCAATATAGTTGCAGTGATGGATTTGTGGTGAAAGATAATGAAGTATGTTTGGGATATGTTGAGTTAAGGATACCTACAGCAGGAGAATACTGATAGCAGGAGGAAAACCAGAAGATATCATTGACATTAAAACAGAGGAAAGAGATAGTACTCAGGAGGAAGAGGTGGGTAGGTTCAACAGTTTCTCATGATTCAGAAAGGTTAAGAAGGGTGAGGACTGAAGAAAGGCCATTGGATTCAACAATGAGGAAATTTTGGGTTATTTTGAATA